ATATGATTATTTTTGTTTAAAACTGGTTTAAAAGATCACTCAAAATACAATATATGTATATAGATATATAGATAGATCATGTAATGGTTCAAAATGTTGGGAAAAAAACCCAGGGGATGTGCAAGACCATTTAATGAAATTCCCAGGTCCATTTTGATTTCTGAATATATCAGGGAAGAAGTTTGAAATATGGTTAATTGTCTTTGTGGGGGTTGTATAATTTTTTATGAAGTAATATATATTTATTAATCTGTAACCGGACTGTATCCATTAGGATCTTTACTACCTTATAACTGAACACTAGAGATTAAAACACACAATACCAGGTCTCCAGTGCTCTATTTCTTCTTAAAGTCGAACAATGAGATCTGAGGAACTTTTATGCTGTCAGTGTTGTGGACTCACAACATTTATTGGACTATTGACAGCTTTAGTTCAACATCTAAAACAGGGGTCCCCAGACTCTTCAGCTCATTGACTCTTCGTGAGGTTTCAGATTGTGCATTGACACCCTCCCCAAACATTTATATGAAAATAATTCAATAAATATTACTTTAGCTAATGGTACCTCACATAACGACAATAATGGATAGTTCCATCGACCCTTGGATTGTATATTGACCACTTTGGGGAAACCCTGATTTAAAGGATTGCAGGTTTCCTACCCCTTTGTAAAAAATATAACAACATTTATTTATTGGTTCGATTTATATGGAGCCCTTTTCTGGAGACTCAGGGCGGCTTACAATGCATTAAGCAATAGCCTTCATACTTTTGTATATACCTGCTTAGTAGGGCTTTTGCCCCCCCCAAGCGATGTTCTTTTTTATACAAAGTCAGTTTATTGCCCCCACAATCCGGGTCCTCATTTTACCTACCTCGAAAGGATGGAAGGCTGAGTCAACCTTGAGCCTGGTGAGATTTGAACTTGCAGTAAGTGCAGGCAGCTGGTGTTACTTAACAGTGCTTTAGTCTGCTGCGCCACCAATCATATGCTCTTCTAGAAAGTATTATGTAGCTATCCTACCATTCAATATTACCTAAATCAATTAGCTTCAATTAATCTTCTTGAAATTAAGTAAAAATCAGTTTAATTCAGTCTATGTTCACGTTTCTATACAAGCCCTCCTTTTTCTGGTAGGAATTTAGAATACTTCTATTCTACCCTAGGGGTGAAATGTAAAATCTGTTACTACCGGTTCTGTGGGTGTGGCTTGGTGGGGAGGGGGTAGTGTGACTGGGTGGGTGTGGCCAACTTTTAAAAAAAAAACTTTTCAAAGCATTTTTTCTAATGCTTTGAAAAGCCTTTCTGCCGATCAGGAACTCAGCTGGGATCGTCAGAGACTTTTGAAAGCATTTTTTTTTAACCTCCTCTTTGGCCAAGAGGTTGCAGAAAAAAATGCTTTGAAAAGCCTCCGATGATCCCAGCTGAGCCGCGTGATCATCAGAGGCTTTTTTTTTTTTTTACTTTTAAAAGCATTTTTTCATCGGAAGAGGTTGTAGAAAAAATGCTTTTAAGTTAAAAAAAAAAGCCTCTGATGATCGTGCGGCTCTGCTGGGCATGGGGGGGGGGTGCAGGGATTTTTGTTACCAGTTCTCCGAACCACCGCAGCCATCGCTACCGGATCGGGTGATCCGGTCCGAATCGGGAGCATTTCACCCCTGATTCACCCCCATCTTAACTTCTGACAATAAAACAAGCTAATCTAAGACATTTCACTCCCCGCAATGGTAGAGAAAATTATTATATTCCCTATCAAGGAAAATCTCATTAAAAAAACCCCAAAGCAGTAAAGAGTGAACTATAACTGAAGATGCTGTTGGAGAGAACCCTCAAGAGTTCTAATTAGCCAAATGTGGGAGAGTTTTGCAAGCCAATATTTTTATAGAGAACTTGAAATCATCTAAATGAGCCTTCCCAATATGTAACTTCAAAACCTAGTAATTGAATTATCAACCATGACTGTACTAAACTTCCTGAGTTCCCCAGTCAGTGCTCATGGCTGATAATTACTAGGTTTTGAAGTCACTTATTAGGAAGGCACATTTAGATGATCCCAAATTGTCTATAAAAAATATTGGCTTGTATAAGTCTCAGGAAGTCAGGAAATTTAAATGCACTCTCCAGAGGGGCCCCTAAGAGAAGCCTAAATATCTCCTTGCTCGATGCAAGATGGACAAGGCAGCATCTTTGACAAATGGCCAATTAGCTATATCTAAGAGAAGAGGACTACAGGTAGTTCTCGATTTATGACCACAATTGAGCCCAAAATTTATGTTGCTAAGCGAGACGTTTGTTAAATGAGTCTTCTCCCATTTTACAACTTTTCTTGCCATGGTTGTTAAGCGAATCATTGCAGTTGTTAAATTAGTAACCCAGTTGTTAAGTGAATCTGGCTTCTCCATTGACTTTGCTTGTCAGAAGATGATCAGATGACCCCAGGATACTGCAACTGTTCATCAATATGCCCCCGTCACCAAGCATCTGAATTTTGATCGCATAACCATGGGGATGCTGCGACGGTCATATGTGTGAAAAATGGTCATAAGTCACTTTTTTCCAGTGCTTTCGTAACTTTGAACGGTCACTAAGTGAACTGTTGTAAATCGAGGACTACCTGTACTTCCTTCACAGCCAAAATCTGTTAATAAAGGAATGCTTGAAATCCCAAATTGCTATCGCTTAAGATGCTATGAACATTTATGAAATAACAGAGAAAAGGACAAATGCCGAGATTAAACTGGCATGTCGGTGATAAAACTTCACTCTACAGAGCAGGGGTGGATTCTACTTATCTTTACCACCGGTTCGCAATGGGATTACGCGTGCTTGCTTCGCTCGCACGCCTTGCTTCTGCGCATGCGCAGATCACTGATGACAACATCCGGGGCAGTGGGCGGGATGTCCCGCCAGTTTTACTACCGGTTCTTGTAAAGCGGTCCAAACTGGGGGCAACCCACCACTGCTACAGAGGTAAATTTTCAAAAGAGCTTTTCTTATTTGCAGTAGTCTCTATATTATAGATTATTCTTCCCCCAGAAATACATGCAATTCTTACTTTTCTGGAACTCTATAATAATCTGGACTCCAACTAGCTGACAATGGGAATCCATCTCACATTTTGCCTTGCTTTCTGTTTTTTTTTCTTTGTAGTTAATTTTTGGTTTTAATATTAATTTGCATTTAGTTTTTATCCTAAAGTCTCCCGAGCTTGCAATATTATAACCTGCAATATTCAATTATACAGTATATTATTTTTATTTAAAAAGACAAATCGTGCTTTGCATGTTGAAAAACATCTTTATTTAAGGAATGTACATCTTGACTGTTGGATCAGCTCCTACCCTGTCTGTTTCGAAAAAGAAATCAGGGCCTTAATCATTAGCCAAGCTTTCTCCGTCTGAGATCAATTTAACTCTGATTTCACAGAATTTCTGAGGTTTTATGATTGGTGCCTTATAGTCAGAAAAGCAGGATATAATTCAACAGCTGATGTGACAGAGACAGCAAAGAGTAAGAAAATCATCTTAAGATGTCATGACTAGCCATGAACCCCACACACAGTTTTTGCAACTCTTAGACTGAGAGGGAAAAAAAAAAAAATCAGGAAAAGGAAAAAAGAAGAATCTCATGCCAGTTTAAGATCATGGAAGAACATGAAATTTATAACCGTACTGTATTCCTGAGTAAGAGACTAATAAAAAAAAGTCTGCTTATTAGCATTGCATCTCATGTGAAAATTTGCAATTATTTTAAAACAGGAGTGTCAAACTCGATTTCATTGAGGGCCGCATCAATGAAGGTTGTGTTTGACCTTGGGGGGCAGGGCGGGGTGTGTGTGCCAGGGTGGGCGTGGCCAGCTCAACTTCACTCATGTTGGGATCAACTGTGGTGACTTAAGTGCTTTGCCAGCGAAAATGGACTTCCGAGCTCCATTTTCACCTGCAATGGCCTCCTGCAATCCTCTGCCAGTGAAAACGGAGCTCGGGAAGGCCGCCCATGGCCCTCGCAAGCTCCATTTTCACTGGCAAAGGCACCATGGGCCGGTCCTTCACTGTTTCCAGGGCAGCCCTGTGGGGCAGATCTAAGCACCCCCCAGGTCGGATGCAACACCCGGGCCTTGAGTTTGACACCCCTGTTTTAGAACATTTGTTTACAAGACAAATTTTACTCCAAGATATAAGTTTAAATTACATTGCCTTCTATTCTTCACTCTGCCTTTAAAAAGTTCAGACAGTTTTCTCTCTCCCCCCTTCTCTCTTATTCTATTCACAAGGGGAAAAAAAGCTGGCCATAATAAAATGTAGTATCTTTATAAGCCCCCTTGAATACAAGTTAATACAGGTACCCTGTTTCCCCGAAAATAAGACATCCCCTGATAATAAGCCCAATCGGGCTTTTGAGCGCATGCGCTCAAATAAGCCCTCCCCGAAAATATTTAAAATCAGGTAAGATGGTAAGAGGAGCCCCATCTTGGTCCATGTGCCCCAAAATAATAAGACCTCCCCAAAAATAAGGCCAAGCGCTTATTTTGGGGTTCAAAAAATATAAGACAGGGTCTTATTTTCGGGGAAACACGGTGGTCCTCAACTTACAACAGTTCATTTAGTGACCGTTCAAAGTTACAACATGACTGAAAAGAATGAGTTATGACCATTTTTAACACTTATGACCATTGCAGTATCCCAATGGTTGTGTGATCAGAGTTGGCAACTGACTCATGTTTATGACGGTTGTAGTGTCCCGGGATCATGTGATCTACCTTTTGCGACCTTTCAGACAAAAGAAGTCCATGGGTAAACCAGATTCACTTAACAACCCTGTAACTAACTTGACAACTGCTCTGATTCACTTAACAACTGTGGCAGGAAAGGTTGTAAAATGGGGGCAAAACTCACTTAACAAACGTCTCGCTTAGCAACATAAATTTTGGGCTCCATTGTGGTCGTAAGTCGAGGACTACCTGTGATGAAATGGATACAGGAAAAGGCTTGCCTACCTCTTCGGGAGCACAGGTTTGAACATTTCTCCGAAAAAGTCTTTTTGGAATGATAGTAGGGAGGCGGGGGATTGTCATAGCCCTGCCTTGGTCCCAGATGGTTCGGCTCTGGGTCTGCAAAAGCCGAGGAAGATCTTGAATGTTCAGTTGTTCCTTGCGACAACCTATGGACAGAAAGAAAGGCAGAAAAAAACAACGGATGTCTTTGTGATAGATCAGCCTGTTAGGATCATCAGCAATTTCCTCTCTCTTCAGCAACAGCTTTTATTCCTGTACCAACACAATGGCAGCATCCCTCCCAGTCAACTACCTGACTATACTGGGAGATTATTTCAAATTTGGAAATGACTTCATCAAATATGTGACAGAGGGCTACTATCATAAATGTTGTGGCTTGTCAGATGCCGGCCCCTCCAGCAGCTGAATCAGATGAGGAGTCAGCATGGGAGTCAGGGACAGTATCAAGGCAACTTGAGAGCTCCGAGAGGGAAGAGGGAATGGAGCTGTCAGAGACAGATACAGAGGCGGAGCCTGGGCCATCCATCAGCCCTCAGATGGAGAGTCAACAGCCCCCAGATCTGGAGGTGGCTGATGAGGAAAGAGGAGGAATAGCTGGGTCCAGTGCCTGATGTGCAGATGCGCAGAACGCAGAGGAGAGGAGAGCAGTGGAAATCTATGGGCCAATCCTTGGGATGGAAGAGCCACTGCTGCTAGCTCTGGGGATAAAAGGCATGGGGCGGAGATGAATAAGTGTGGCAGACAACTATTCATCTCCCTGCTGGACAGACTTGTTAGCCTGGGCTCCTGGAGCTCCTAATAAAGGGAACATTTATTTAACTACACAACTAACACAACTACTTGTCATGTTTGGGAGCCAAGTCAGAACAATAAACTTCTGTTTTTCTGCAGAGGGACAAAAAAATTGGAAGACTTCTTATGTGGTACCTCCATGGGGAGGAAGTTGGTGTTTTCCAGAGGATGAACTTACCCACGTTGTGGGGAATATTAAGTAATATTAAGTAAATAAAAGTTAAGCAAACCTTTTGTCCTAGGTCAGAGTTGAATCTCGGCAGGTTTATGGGTGAAATGTTACGGTGGATTAGATATCTCTGCAAGAGGTTTCTTAAGTAGAGACAACATAGTGGTGGAATTGACAGAAATTTCTTTGGAGGAAGGACAAATTGGGTAGCACCCATTTGTGCTCTGAAAGAGCTGCTCCTCACGAGATTTAGTTTTTTGCTATCAATTGTGGGTCAAGGTTTGGGCGCTAAGGGGTTTACAAGGTGTCCCTAATTGCTAGGCAGCCTTCATGGATATTTGACTAGCAAGAGCATAAACTTCTTAAACACTTGACGATTTAATTACTTTGCAAGCTAAGAGAGATATTCTCAATGGCATTGAAGATCAAAGACCCTTGGTGGCTTCCTTCTTTTTGAAATTAAGAAGAGGGGGGGGAATCAGCTATTTTAAAAGATTTCAATTTAAAAGCAAAAAGCTTAACAAGATCGTGATCTAAGAAAGTTTCCAATGAACAAAGGGGACAGTGATTTTTTTAAAAAAGAAGATTTGTTTTTGTTTTTTTGTTTTTTGTTTTTTTTACAAAACTGCCTTGGAAAACAGTAAAATTAATTAGACTAGCAGACTGGACCTTTGTGGGAATGCTGATTGTTTGTTTTAAGGACAATAGCAGTTGGTTGATTTTGCAAAATAAGAACATAAGGCTAATATGAGCTAAGTTGTGAGACTGCAACTGCAGAAAACTAATTGGGACTAAAATATTAACGATAGAGAGAAGCAAAACGGAGGGGGGTAGCCTATCTTTTACAAACTATAACTAGTACTATAATTGACATACTTTCACTTTCTCACCATGGTAACCACAAGGAAAGTTGCCAAATTGGGAAAAAGGATGCAGGGGTTCACTAGAACAACTTACAGATAAAGACATTTCACCAGATTTATTGCAGAAAATGGTTGAAGAATTTGGCAGAAATGACCGCAATAATTTTTTTAAAAATGGAAATGGAAGAATGATTTGCAGGGATAAAAAAAAAAAAAGATCTGGAAGAAGTTTTAAAAAAAACCCTAAGGCAATTGCCTGCAGATCTAAACCAAGTTACTGATAAAAGTAAAAAGTAAGACAGAAATTATAAATAGAGTTGAGAAAGGAGTTGGAAAATCTGGCATAATTGGAGCGGAGAGAAAAAGCATTTTACTTCAGATTTAGGATAATTCCACACAAAAAAATGGAGAGGAAACCAGGGATTTGTGGTGTGTGTGTGTGGGGGGGAGGTGTAAATATATTTGCTGCCAAGACGCACTTAACTTCCAAGCTTCCCCCCCAACCCACTGGAGCTTCAAGTAGCTATTGGTACCAATGTATAATTTTCTCTCCTAGATCTTAACTTCCATGAAGAAGATGATTGGGGAAGGAGCATGTTAGGTACCACATCTTGCAAAGACCAAAATATCCCACTCCCTAAACTGGACAATTAAGTTTAGGAGGGGGGAATCCATCTTCCATTAGTGTTTGCAAGTGTTTCTCTACTGCTTACAGCCCTGTGGGAAGAAATTTGAAAGAGAATGCTCTCTCCCCTTCCCTGTGTACTACAACTCTTCCTGAAATCGGATATGCTGTGAATAACAATTAAGCTTAGAAAAATCACTGGCACTGGCACTAATGGAAACTCCCACTCAAGCTTAACTGAGATGTCGGGGTAGAGATTTCAAGACATCACTCCCTCCTCCACCCCCTCCCCTTTACATGCAACACTATTCAGTTTAGAAAAGTATGCCTTGGCCCATTAAATGAGGGCTTTTTTGGTGTGGGAAAACACTTTGCACGTACCCAAAACACTGTGCTCTTTCCCTACTCTTCCTGAGAGAACATTAAAACACTGGTCTACTACTTATCAGCAGTTTGATAGGAAACCTTAACAGGAGTAAATTACATGGAAATGAGAGGGAAAGAGAGAGCGTTAAAAACTCTATTCTATGTAAAGGATGATTTCTTAAACTTACCGTCCACCTGATGAATTTGGTGGCCTACTTCTTTTATCAAAATAATTGGGATTCTCTCTGGGAATGTAGCCTCTGTCTTGATTAAATTTCCCGGAATGGGGCATCTTCTATTTTGTTGAAGTTACCCACAAGTGGAACTTGCTTCTGCTTCAATTTGATGAATGGCGAACATTCAGTCAACAATTTTGTTACTCGGTTAGAAACACAAAATAAGGCACGAAGGTGATCTATAAAAAAAGAAAGTGACGTAGTAAGTTTTATTACTTACTATATAGCATAGGTTAGGGCATCCTTTCCCAATTCAATACCATCCCAAAATTTTGGATAACAGCTGCCCAAAATACATACTTGTCAATTTGGTCAATAACAGTAGAATATTAGCCCCCAAAATTTAGAGAGCACTGGTTGGGGAACAAAATGTACAGTGAGGTAGGGAGTTCCTAAACTAAATGATTAGATCAAATTATAATGTTATAGATTTAAAAAAACCAAAGGAATACAACAAATGGCAAAAATTAAAGGAACGCAACATTAAAATGTTGCTGTTTTAAGAGATCAGCAAAGTTTACAGAATATAGGTAGTCGTCAACCTAAGACCACAATTGAGCCTAAAATTTCCACTCCTAAGTGAGACAGTTTTAAATGAGTTTTCCTCCATTTTATGACCTTTCTTGACACAAGTGTTAAGTGAATCACGGCAGTTGTTCAGTTAATAACATGATTGTTAAATGAATCTGACTACCACATTGACTTTGCTTGTCAGAAGGTCACATGACGTCAGGGCACTGCAACCATCATAAATGTGAGCCAGTTGCTAAGGGTCCGAATTTTGATCACATGACCATGGGGGTGCTGCAATAGTTGTAAGCGTGAAAAATTGTCACAAGTCACTTTTTTCAATGCAGTTGTAACAGTGGCGGGATTCAAAATTTTTTACAACTGGTTCTGTGAGTGTGGCTTGGTGGGCGTGGCATGGTTTGATGGGTGTGGTTTAGTGGGCGTGGCAGGGGAAGGATACTGTAAAATCTCCATTCCCACCTCACTCCAGGGGAAAATTACTACAAAATCCCCATTCCCACCCGATCAGCTGAGACTCAGGAGGCAGAGAATAGATGGGGGCGGGGCCAGTCAGAGGTGATATTTACAGGTTCTCCGAATTACTCAAAATTTCCGCTATCGGTTCTCCAGAACTGGAATCTGCTGAATACCACCTCTGAGTTGTAACCTGAAACAGTCCCTAATGAATAGCCATAAGTCGAGAACTACCTGTAGAGAGATCATGACAATCTCATGGAAAAAATCATTCAAATGTTTTAAAATTACATAGTTTAATAGGAAAATGGATTATTTTACCAATGTCTGATATACCTCTTCTTGGGAAAATATAATTCTCTCTAGGATGATTTTTAATTTAGTCAGCTGCACTTGTCAACTGGTTCGCACATGCCCAGTGCATCTTTCATTCCTCCTTTATATCAGAGCTGATGCGTTAACTGTGTCATGTTCAAGAAAAGGAGGAATCTGTGTTTCGGGCATAAGGCTAACATGCAAATGACCAGATAATGCTATAGTCACACAGGGAGGATGTGATATAATACTAATTCTGATCTCCTGCATTGCAGCTTTCTCTCCTTTTCATTTATCATAAGCCACAGAATTAAAGCCCACTCAGGGTTCCTGCTGCCTTAGGAATTGCTGGGTTTTACTCTATCTTGATTTTGATCCTTTAGATTTCCATTAAAAAATAAATGTACTGACTGAACCAAGACAGCTTATGATGTCAACACTTCTACTGAGTTATCTTAGTTTTACTTTACAACTACAGCTACAACTACAACTACATAACTTACTTACAGTAAGTTATGTTTATTTTTAATGGACTGTACCCCAGCTTTGGACTGTTTCATATTATGTTCACTATTTTATAAATGAACTGACAAAAACAGCCTAATCTCATAAGATTTATCTCTGTCTTTCACTGTATTGCCAGGAATGGTAAACCCAAGATCATATTCAGGTTTGATCTTGCGATGGGATTAAGTTGCACATCTTCCAGAGGTAATTGAACTCCCAACTCTCATCAGCTCCAGCCAACAGTCAGAGATGATACCATTTTAGCCCAACTGTATCTATGCTACAAAGTCCCATCTGGGATCAGAAAGGACTACGATTAGACTGCCTAAACTTGACTTATGACGAGAGAGACTGTATATTCTGAGAATGTGCTTGCCTTAGTCTAAATTGAGCCATTTTAATTGCATCCTATCTTTTCCCCAGGTGGTCTGCAATCACCTAACCTTTCCAACGAGGTGCTCCTCATTCAGCATTGAAGATCTGAGTGCAAAAACAGGAATTTTTAAAGGCTTTTTTCCTGAAATCTATCTTCAGTCTGAAAACAAGGCCAACAGACAGCCAGGGATTTAGTAAACCTTCTGCAACCTGATGCTTTGCTGGGCTAGAGGTCCCTTCAGTAGCACTGATGATGTTATCTAGCTTGGATTAATGAAACATCTGCAAGAAAACAAGAAAGCTCAGAGAGCACCAAGGGTCCCTCTAGAGCAGTGGGTCTCAACCTTCCTAATGCCGCGACCCTTTAATACAGTTCCTCATGTTGTGGTGACCCCCAACCATAAAATTATTCCTAAAACCATTGAAAATATGTGTTTTCCGATGGTCTTAGGCGACCTCTGTGAAAGGGTCGTTCGACCCCCAAAGGGGTCCCGACCCACAGGTTGAGAACCACTGCTCTAGAGGTCCCTTCCTTTGCAGCTAGCATGGCCACCACTGACTAAACTGCCTAGGGCGAGTAGCTCAAACAGTTTTGGAGGACACCAGGTTGATGAATACAGGTCGTCCTAAACTTACGACCAGATTTGAGCCCAAAAATGTATGTTGCTAAGTGAAACATCCATTAAGTGAATTTTGCCCCATTTTATGACTTTTCTGGACAAATTTGTTAAGCGTATCACTGCAGTTGTTAAACTAGTAACACAATTGTTAAGTGACTCTGGTTTCCACTGCAGTTGTTCAATTAGTAACACAGTTGTTAAATGAATCTGGTTGACTTTTGCTTGTCAGAAGGTTACAAAAGATGGATGGCATGACCCCCGGGACCTTGCAACCATCAGAAACGAGAGTCGGTTGCAAGCCCCCCCAAATGTAAATCACGTGACCCTGGGGATGCTGCAACAGGTCATGAAAACCGGTCATACTTTAAGTCAGTTTGTTGTAACTTCGAACGGTCGCTAAGCGAGCTATTGTAATAAGCAGAGGACTACCTGTACTGATTTGAAGGCATCGTATTCGAGCAGAACAAAGCCTGATAAGTTTCTGGGGCGTTTTGTTTACAAATCCCAGATCTTCAAAGACAGAAAGGGGAGGAGAACGTAAGTGAAGCCAGCCAGCCTTCTTTACTACACAATCATAATCATAAGTTTATTTTGTCAAGCATATATAAGGTAACAGGTAAAAGTATAAACATAATGAAAACAGTAAGTAAAAAAGGAATATTAAGACAGGGACGGTAGGCAAGCTGGTGCACTTATGCACGCCCCTTAATATATATATACGAAGCTGTTTGTGTGGCCGAGATATTTTATTTTCCCAACTCACCCCAGAGCTGCTGAAGGGCCTCCACACGTTCACAGCAACGCGCCGGAGTTCACGGGAACTTTTTTCCAGGGATCGGGCGCAGCTTTGTCTCTTCCCAGCCGAGAGTCCTTCCGACGGAATCTCGGCGTTTCCTGGTTGGTGCGGCGGCGAGAGAAAAGGTGAAACTTAACCTTGGTCACGTACAACCAGCCCGCCCAGCCAAACCTTCCGAAGTCGGGGGAGGGTCAAGTTTCAGTCTGTAAGCGCCCGCAGGTTTCGGAGACGGCTCAAAAGCAAATGGGAGCTACCTTGCCCAACCTGAAGGGGCGGAGCGCGGTGCCCGGAGCGCCCGAAGGTGGCCGCTTCTCCGAGGCGCTGAGGAGAAAAGAGCGCCCGCGGAAGAAGCGTAAGAGGAATAACGTCCGAAAGTATCAAATGTGGGGTCGTTGGCTTTCTTTTGCAGAGATGGACGCACCTGCGCTTAAGGGAGAGAATAAAGGGGTTTTGTGTGTGACAAGACGGGGCGGTATTAGGTGATCTTAGACCAGGGAGGTCTTTAAACTTGGCAGCTTGAAGACTTGTGGACTACAACTCCCAGAATTCTCCAGCCAGCTATGCTGGCTGGAGAATTCTGGGAGTTGAAGTCCACAAGTCTTCAAGTTGCCAAGTTTGGGGACCCCTTGTCCTAGTCTTACAACCACAACTGAGCCCTCCAAATTTACTGTTGTTAAGTGAAGTGAATTTTGCCCCGTTTGACGAGCTTTCTTTGCCTCCCTTGTGAAGTGAATGGCTGGGGTCGATGACTTAGCGACATGGTTGTTAAGGGAATCTGGCTTCCCCATTGAGGTGGCTTGTCAGAAGGTTGGAAAACTGGATCGTGTGACCTTGGGATGCAGCGATGATCATAAGTAGGAACCAGTTGCCATGCATCTGAATTTTTGATCGCGAGGATGCCGGAAAGGTCGCAAGTGTGAAAAACGGTCACTTTTTTCCAGTGCCGTTGTAACTTTGAATGGTCGCTAAATGAACTGTTGTGAGTCAAGGACTGCCTGTATTGGTAATGTTGCAGTGTAGATGTCTGGGAGAAGAACATGGCTGGAGGGCTCCTTAGGTTACCTGGCTGTACTCCTCCTTAAGGACCTACGGTTGATGGTTTGATCTGCAGAAGGCTGGCTCCAGTTTCATACAAAACGGCTGTATTCTCGCAGCCCTTGGATCCCCGAATTAGCCCATGTTCTGGGTTTGCACAATATGGTCAGCGAGTCATTGGTCCCCACAGAGAGGGCTCGCAACTTAGGTGTCCTCCTGGACACACGGCTGACAGCCGTGGCCAGGGGAGCTTTCTATCAGATTCGCCTGATTCGCCAATTGCGACCCTTTCTAGATCGGGACTCCTTACGCACAGTCACTCATGCTCTCATCACTTCCCGTCTGGACTACTGCAATGCTCTCTACATGGGGCTCCCCTTGAGGTGCACACGGAGCCTCCAACTGGTCCAGAATGCAGCTGCGCAGGCGATATTGGGAGCGACATGGCATTCACATGTAACACTTCTCCTACGCAAGCTGCACTGGCTCCCGGTGGTCTTCCAAGTGTGCTTCAAGGTGTTGGTTCTTACCTTTAAAGTGCTCCATGGCTTAGGACCTGGGAACCTACGAGACCACCTTCTGCAACCAATAACCTCCCCCCAACCAGCACGCTCCCACAGGGTGGGCCTCCTCAGGGTGCCATCACTAAAGCAATGTCGGCTGGTGGTTCCCAGAGAAAGAGCCTTTTCTGTGGGGACACCTACCCTTTGGAACAGGTTACCCCCAGGGATACGAATGATCCCAGATCTTCGTACTTTCCGTCATGCATTTAAGACCTTTCTATTTCACCAAGCCGGGCTGGCATAAATCTCTTCTAATTTTCCTAAATCTTTATGCTGAAGATTCTTAACCGATGAACCAAATTGGCTTAATCATTTTATATTCACATTTTATATGCATGTTATTTAACTGTTCACTGCCCTGAGTCCTTCGGGAGAAGGGCGGTATAAAATTAATTAATTAATTAATTAATTAATTAATTAATTAATTAATTAATTAATTAATTAATTAAATAATTAATTAAATAAATAAATAAACCAAACAATACTGAGATGTTTGGCAAATACAGTCATTATGCTTTAGGTCTTCAAACTTGGCAGCTTTAAGACTTGTGGACTTCAACTCCCAGAATTCTCCAGCCAGCTATGCTATGCTATGCTGGCTGGAGAATTCTGGGAGTTGAAGTCCACAAGTCTTAAAGCTGCCAAGTTTGAAGACCTCTGCTTTAGGTTATATATATATTTAAAGCAGTGTTTCTCAATCTTGGCAACTTTAAGGCTTGTAGACTTCAACTCCCAGAATTCCTCAGCTATCACAGCTGGCTGGGGAGTTTTGGGAATTGAAGTCCATATATCTTCAAGTTGCCAAAGGTTGAAAAAAACAGAGACAAAGCATGAACATAGCCGATTTTTTAAATCAAGCTTGTCCATTTTAACTGAGATTATTCCTTGAACTGAATGTTTACATTGTTGCCCCTCCTTGCATGCATCAAAATCTACAAGTTAGATATTTTCTTGTCTTTTCCAGGAATGTAACTTACTGTTGAAATGTATATTTTATCTGTGTTTTTAAAACATGTGCAGAAGTAAAATCAATAAAGTCATCAAATATTTGTAACTTTCAGCAACCGAAACACAAAAGGATTGAGTTTTGTGGGAATATTTCTTTCTGTAAAGATTGTTCTACAGGTTGCATTTATAAAGAGTTACAGTACAACAAAGATGATTGTTCCTAGGAAATAGCTACGTTAATTATGTATTACATGCAACCATGTAAATAAATACATGCATTAAACTGTCGGTTCCTATCTTGATGTCTGCAAGTTGAAGGGGGTTGGATGTGAAATTACAGACTTCAGCTCAACCCTAGCAAGGCGGAATAGTTTTGGGTTTAGGCTCCAGGGACTTGATCATCTCAGGTTCTGGATGGCTGGCACTTCCCCAAAAAGACTCAGTTTGCAAATCGAGGGTTTTCCTGGATGATGGTCTGATGACAGTCACGATCAGGAGGGCCTTTGTGCTTTATGGCAGTTGCAACTGTTCCTGGATCAGGAGGTTCTGTTCTCATTCATGTGCTGGTCACCTCCTGAATGGATTACTGAAATGTTCTCTATATGGGGCTGTTCCTTGCCAATGCATAGGCGTGTAGTATGGGGCATGACTAGAATACACGCCTAATATGGCAGTAGACAGGGGTGAAATCCAGCAGGTTCTGACAGGTTCTGGAGAACCGGTAGCAGAAATTTTGAGCAGTTCGGAGAACCGGTAAATACCACCTCTGGCTGGCCCCAGAGTAAGGTGGGAATGGAGATTTTGCAGTATTCTTTCCCTGCCACGCCCACCAAGCCACGCCCACCAAGCCACACCCACTGAACTGATAGTAAAAAAATTTGGATTTTACCACTGGTGGTAGGTTGAGCAATGCAACTTTAATCCAGTGATAATGTGAATAACATGGAACATTCTTCACATGAACTGCAATCTTCGGACATGAAGAGGGTTATAGTGCAGCAGACATTCTCCCACTCCTTTATGGAATGGACTATGGTTATTTTGGGTTTTCCCAAAGAACAAATGAAAATAGATGGACAATCATGCATGCACTCTGTATGGTTCATGTGGGGCAGGTTTGATCTGATCTCCAAAGTCATTCAAATTGTGTGCACTTGTGTGCACCAATATTATGTTTTTAACCTCAGTAGAATTATTGTAAAGAAAATCCAATTGTGACATCTAGTGGCACCATTTTGACATCTACATATAAAACAATGAACATTTCTTTCTTTGTATTTTTATTCATATGGAAAGTAACACTGTGCTTGCTTATGTGAAAAAGGCACGACAAATTTAAAATTGCAAAATATTTTGCAGGCGCAGTGCTATTCACTGGAGCTGATTCCGGCCCAGAACCATAAAACATCCTTTTACAAAATTCCAGGGAGGTTTGTGAATGTGTGAAATGACCAGATAACATACAGAATCCTAGTATGCGTTGGGTACTAGTATTCAGAGTGTTTTAATTTATTTAACTTGCAGTAATATTATTCTAACCTTATACATGTTCACTTTAAGCCATATTACCATTTTAAAAAATATTGGTGATGATGTTCAAAACCAGTTATGATTTAAATTGCCTCTGATTAGCAAAGAGAAAACGTCATTGCAAGGAATTGCTTTATATTCTTCAGAAGGTACAGTTAGCTTTATTTTCTGTTTTTAGTGTCTTCAGGGTTCAAACCCTATGAAAAAAAAGAGAGCGTGAACAAGTGGCCCAGTCCAAACATTAGACAGGGACATAGCTAACCTTGGTGACAGACACTGAAAGGAGATGACAAGATATTAGAGCAGCAGTCCCCAACCCTTATGGCTTAGCAGCCTGGCGGTGTGGAATTGATGGAGGGGGAGAGGGGAACTGGTCCATGCAAGCAGTGGGCCGGCATGTGTGTCAGAGGTGGTATTCAGCACGTTCTGACCAGTTTTGGAGAACCAGTAGCGGAAATGTTAAGTAATTCGGAGAACCGGTAAATACCACCTCTGATTGGCCCTGTCCCCGTCTATTCTCTGCCTCCCAAGTCCCAGCTGATTGGGAGGAAATGGGGATTTTGCAGTAACCTTCCCCTGGAGTGGGGTGGGAATGGAGATTTTACAGTATCCTTCCCCTGCCATGCCCACCAAACCACGTTCACCAAGCCATGCCACACCCACCAAGCCACGCCCACAGAACCAGTAGTAAAAAATTTTGAATCCCACCACTGGTGTGTGTGTGCACGCATGCTGGTCCACCTCTTGCATGGCCCACTTCCAAATTGGTCTCCCGTTAGTGGGCTGTGAGTCAGGGGTTGGGGACCCCTGTATTAGAGGACAAAACACAATGTACCTTAAAGTCTGGCCAGTGCTTTTAAGTTTTACGCTCTTCAATGGTGCAGAGAGGGCACCATCCATTGTCAGAAATGAACTAAAATTCAGGCAGCAATTGTGTTGGGTTTAAGGAATGGAAAAAAGGATACCACTTTGTCTCAGACAGAAAAATCACTCAACAGCCCTGATTGAGGAGATACAGAGTACTTTTGGTTATTCATGGGGAAACTACACAAAGTACCTTCATATATACTGATACAGGACAAGGGAAAGAAATCTGTTAATTTTCAATTGCTTTGGATCAGAATTCCATATTTCCTTGATACTGGCTAAAATGCTAAAGCTGTTGAGAACTGAAGTTGGGAAG